CAGTGTAGTTAGAATCAGTAGGGGAGCTAACCGGAGAGTCATTAGAAGCAGCACCAGCGTTGAGCGCAGTGTAGTTAGAATCAGTAGGGGAGTCGACAGGAGTGTCGTTAGAAGCAGCACCAGCGTTGAGAGCAGTGTAGTTAGAATCAGTAGGGGAGCCGACAGGGGTGTCGTTAGAAGCAGCATCAGCGTTGAAAGGGCTGTCTTGTACAGATTCCTCCTCAAAGTCATCTCTCGCCACGTCGTCTTCACTCGCCACACACACATGGCTCATGATCGAACTGTCAACGGACACATCAAACATTCCACACACAAGGTCATTGTGCCCCTGCTCATTTCTGCTACAAACATAATCATACTCCCCCCCGCTTTCACTGCTGGACAAATCTTCATATATATCTTCTACCCCACTTCTGTGTGTGTGATCATGTCCTACTTCTGCTCGAGTGCTCATTACTTCTTCTTGGTCTACTCCGATGCCTCTTCTCACCATCGCTGCGTAATCCGTATCCTCTTCACTGGACATGTCACACTCAAGAGCAGCGTCATTTCCAATTCGTAAAATTTCTTCATACTCATCTTCAACGTCGTGATATGCTGCGCTGTTGCCGTCCTCTGTGCTGACGCCGTTAACAGAAACGTCAACTCTGGTGCTCACGCCCTCGTTCGGTGACTCTTCCTCATCTGCAGCCTTGTCATTTACACCTTTATCATCTACGGCGTTGTCATGTACGGCGCTATCATTTACACCTTTATCATGTACGGCGATGTCACCTACTGCTTCAACACCTACAGCGCTGTCGCTTACAACTCTGTCACTCCCCTCGCCATGACGGTGTGGTTCAGTTTGTGCAGGATCTTCATTCGAACAACCGTTGCTCAGCACATCAGAATTGGATAGGAGGTTCTTCGGACTCGTTTTTTCTTCCAACTTCATTTGTCCCTGGTCGTTGCACTGATGGGTTGGGGACACGCCATTTTTTGGTGACTTCCTGTTCCAGGGGTTGCCTAAAAAAAATAATAATAATAAAAAAAAGGACATTGTGAAACACGGATTGTAAAAAGGGTGGAGATGCATGCATAATTTTTTGATCCATTCTGAAATCCCCCTACATGTAGGGGTAGTGGCAGAATAGTTACCTTTACATTTCCACGACGACAAGATGTTCTCAGGCGTGACTTTTGTTTTCTTTAAATCCTGTGGATTCGGAATGACGCGCTTAGTAGTGGGGCTAACATGGGAGGGGTGGTGACAAAACCTGCAGTGTTCCCCCAGGTGGCACCCGCGTGTCCATTCGTATCTGCATGGGTTGCACGTGCCTTCAGGTAAGGGGAAAAAAAATCATATATAAATAAATAAAGTCAAATCAGTGCACGGAACGGGACGTAAACTGTGCTTCTGTATGTGCGTTTCTGACGAAGAGAGAAACTTTTTATCCACTCGAAATGCACGCATAAAAGTCCATGCACAAAACAACCACATATGCACTACGCAGGGGGACATGCAAGTGCGGCCACTTTATGAAGCAGCGTTCAGATGCTCCTTTTATCTCATGTAACTTATACTTACCCTTGTCATGAAACATCGTGCCGAAGGATAGGTACTTGCCACTCGAGTCAGACAAATCAACCTGAGCAAGAGACCCCTTCATTCTGTCATCTTCCAGCAAGGCATCATGTGAATCAGTGGAGCCTTTATCCGATGTTTGCTCATTAATAGCCAAACATTTTTCCAAATAGCTCACTCGTTTTTCTTCCGTTTCATTTTTTGCGTCTCCTCCGCTCAACGCCTTTTGCATTTGTTCGTTTGCCTTGGAGTTTTCCATCTTTCAGTGGCAGCGAGCACGGGCGGGGGACAGTTGGCACGCGTAAGGGAAGTGTGCGTCAGCACGTATGTGTAAAGAAGTATACCTAATATTAGGTTGTGGCACAGTCACGCTGTGGTGCAATAACTTATATATATATATATATGTATGCGCGGTTCTTCTCTATGTTGGTCCACCGGCACGAACAGGTGCGTATAGAGAGGTAGACACGCAGAGATGTACACGTGGGTTAGTGAAGCAGCCCCGTTGCAAAAGGGTTGTACAGAAAGGAAGGGGGAAAAAATTATTAAAAGCTTTCCTATGTAGTTAAAACGCTCGTATGGGGTGAACGTACTTGTTTTTTTTTTTTTTTCTTTGAATTTGGCAACCTAGTGCTGCACAGTGTGTTTAGCTGTGCGCTCAAGTAGGGTTGCACTTATGCAGGGTTGCAGTCGCGTATATTGTAATCGTGTACAGTTGCACTCGCGCAGAGTCGCAGCCGTGTAGGCGTCTATCTACGCATGCAGGAACGCGTGTACCGATGCGCTGTGTGCAGGTGTCGGGGAAGATGGGGCGGCGTGGTGAAAAATGCTCAAGAATGGTAAAGGGACGGCCCACTGCAACTGGCAGAACTACGTGCGGTAGTTTGCACGAGTTGGAAGGGGCAACACAAGCAGTGGCAAAATGTTTTAAGTGGAAAAATGTATTAAATGGGCAACGCACACCTTCACAATCGACCCAGTGACAAAGTCCAAGTAGAGAGCGCTCAGAAGCAAGACGTATCGACGGGGTATCCAGGGACAGGAAAACGAGGTTGGAAGATGCAGAGAAGCGATGGCAAGGTTAAAGGGTGAAACTATATAATAGTGTATCCTCAAAAGGTAGGCTCTTTAAAGAGGCCCTTGAAGCGCAGCAGCCGGTCAGTAGGCTCTCAGCAATGTTATTAACAAGGTCTCAACAAGGGCATTTAAAAATATTTCAACTAGGGCATTAAAAAAGATTTCAACAAGGGCATTAAAAAAGATCTCAACAAGGGCATTAAAAAAGATCTCAACAATGTTATTAACAAGGTCTCAACAATGTTATTAACAATATCTCAACAA